GGGGGATCCGGGCGGGAGAAGGGCATCGGTGGGGAGCGGGGAACAACGGGGAGCAACGGGGAGCGGCAGCCAGTGAGGGACGACGGCTATGCGGGTTATCGCTGGGGAGCGGCGGTCGCTGGGGAACCAGCGTCAATGAATGAAGAACGCGGGTCTCTGGGGAAAGGACGGCAATGGAGGAGCGGGGGTCAGAGGGGAATGGACAGCAATGGAGGAGCGGGGGTCAGTGGGGAATGGACAGCAATGGAGGAGCAGGGATCAGTAGAAAGAGGGAGTCGCTAAGGAAAGGGTGTCGGACAGGGGGATGAGGCTTTCCCGTCCTGATCACAGAATCATAAGCATGGCAGAGGTTGCCCAGAGACGTGGTGGATGCTCCATCCCTGGAAACACTCAAGGTCAGGTTGGACAGGGCTCTGAGCAATTTGTTACGATTGAAGAGGTCTTTTTTCATTGCAGGAGGTTGGACTGGATGGCCTTTAAAGGTCCCTTCTAACCCTAACTATGGTACGATTCTGTGCTTTCCAAAACTTACACAAGTTTTAGAACTCCCTTTGCTGGATACACTCCAGGACCTCAATGTCCTTTTTCCAAATGAAGGACCCAAAACTGAATGCAGTGTTTGAGATGCCTCACCTGTGCTGAGTACAGAGGTGGTGATCCCAGTCCCACCCACCCTCAGGTCCCCTTCCCTGCCTCTTACCACCCTCCCCCCGAGCCAGGTGAGGCTGTTTTTGAAGCAAATATTCCTGTTTTGAGCATTTGTAAAGGAGGCAAGGGCCCTAGAAAGGGAGAGAACCCACAGCCTTAGACCCCTTGAGGCTGTGTCATGTGTGGTTCGGGTTGGACATCGGGAGGAATTTCTTCATATAAAGGGTGATTAAATATTGTCACGAGCTACCCAGGGAGGTGGTGGAGTCACCATCGCTGGAGGTGTTAAAGAAAAAACTGGATGTGGCACTCAATGCCATGGTCTGGCTGACAATAGGGATTGGTCACAGGCTGGATTCAATGACCTCAGAGGTCTTTTCCAACTGAATTAATTCTGTGAATTCACTGCAAGGGCTGACTTCTAACTCAGCTAAGCAGTATATACATCCCTCACCCCCAAAATAACCCAAATCCAAGAATATTAAATCCACCATCTGTCACCAAAATGCTCAACAAGCAAGCAGGAAAATAACCAAATTATCTGCCTTCACATAAATGTGGGTTATTGTAGCAATTACACAGGCCTTGCAGAAAATGGCTCATTTCCTTGCCAGAAGAATATTTATTTTGTGATCCTCTTCCTCTGTGTCATTTATTTGAGCTGTGTCAATCTCATTTTGCAGTGCTGCTTTTCAGCTACAACAAATGTAAAAAGAGCTTTAGACTGATATATTTATTGCTGTATCTATTCATGAGAGATTTTCGTGGGGGGAATAAAAAAGGGAAGCATATTAATTCACCTGAGGTAAAAGGCTTCTGTTCATACACGGTGGAGATGCTTTTGATGTGAGAAGATAAAAATTGACCAGCTGCTACAAGAAGCATTATCTCCCCTAGATTAATGCACTTCTTCCACTGATACTTGGCTGCTACCCTACACGAGGAAGAAAAACACATTAAGCAATTCCAACATTTTGAACAACAATGAAGACAAATGTTATGTTAATAACAGAATGGCATTTATTTTTATCCAAGTTCCGTTGATTTGAACATGAGGGGAGAGTGCTGCTCCTCACACAGCTGTCTTTGAAGAGAGACACAACAGGCAGTGCTTTTGTTCATCATTAAAAGTTATTACTTTGAAGGGCTGACTTCATAAGAACTAAGAGACACCCTGTTCAGCTCATTTTAGAATAGTTCTTCCTTCTGCTGCCAACATATTTGAATATCCAAGCCTGCCCTGCTGCCTGAAGCACAACCAGAGTCTTCCAAGGGCCTGTACTTCCACAGGCTCCCAGACCACCATCTTTAGCCCTACATCCACTCAGGACACATTGCAAAACCAGACAGCACAGTTGCATCACAACTTTTTGAGAACACAACCCACAAATACGGGCAGAAAAAGAAGTACAAAAACAGAAAGCAGCACTGGTATCATCTGAGCTAAGTTTGTGTGGAATTTCCTTTTGCACAAAGAGTTGGGAGGGGAACAGGGCAAACCTGTTACACCAGCATGGGCAGGGAAACCTGTCCACAGCGAGAGATAGAAATGCTCCACCAGTTCCAGGGAGATAAAGGCCAGAAATACAAGTTTTGTATTATGATGGTACATTAGAACAAACCGTGCCCAAAACTATTACAAGTTATCAAAATTTCTGTGGACAGAGGCTCAAGACAAAATCTAAAAAAACAAAAATAATTCTAGATGTTTCAAGAACAGGATTTTTCCCTATTTTTTATATAACTGCCTTTATTGTTTAGCCTGAAACTCTCCAAGGCAGGGACTGCACTTACATTATTACTTTCAGTTGTGCAGTGCCTGAAACAACAGGGCCTGCAGCTTGGTTGGTACCTAATTACTAATTTAATTAGCAATGACAGGAGCATTAAGAGCCCTTTATGCCAAAGCTGATGCTGGAAAGCTCAGTAGGTTCCAGTCTCAAAAAATAACTAAAAATTACACTTAGAAGTTACATTATCTATCACTTCTTCACTGAATTTGCACAATCCATATCTGAGCAACAGAAGCTGGGTAGGAATTTTCCCTCAGCCAGGCTGAGAACAAGACCATGCAGATCTGTTATCCAGATATGGGCCTATTCCTGTAAATTCTCTGTTTATCTCCCCTGTTGTTATGATTCAGAACACTCCCAGATTCAGCTCCAAAACCCAACTAGAAGCAATTCTATTTTTAGAAAGCCAGGATTTGGTTTACTAAACCCCAATCCCCCTTGAAAACAGCCAGATTCACTGCTAAATTATTGAGAAACCATATATAGTAGATAAAATAAATCCTTTAACTATGGCTCAGTCTAAACCATTTTACTCTGTGTTTGTTTACTTATGCAAAGCAAGAAAAATCACAGCTCTGAGAGCATGGACAAGCACTTCCAGTTTTCAGGATAAAGCAGGAAGAGGACGTACCTTTCCCCCCAGAGTTATCACTCTTACAGCTGCTTCCCTTTGATTTTAGAATTCTACCCAAATTATCCACGTCCAAGATAAAGAACATGGATGTTGCTTGTAACCTCTCATACAGTGAGACTGAAACAGCACCAGGAAAGGAAGAGGACACACCTTTCCTAGAGGCCATCATCATCATCACAGCTGTTTCCTCTCTGGTATTCCAACACTACACAGATCACTCAGACACACAACAGGGGACCTCGATGCTCTTTAATGCCCCATCAGGGCCCAGAGGAGCCTGATCAAAACCTGATAAACACCTGATAAACCCTAATGGCCCTGGCCAGCTTCACCTGGGGCCCCCACCCACACCCTCTGCCCATGGATCAAGGAGCTTCATTTAAGCTCTGGCCTGAAAGCCCGGTTGCTTTGCCCAGTGTTTTAGGGGGTCCCAGTTCCAGCTCAGGCTGTGCCTGGCTGCAGATCCTGTTAACATGCAGCCTAGCTCACACCTGACCTTATCTCAAACCTGCCTTATCCCTGTCCAGGCATCATGAGACCATGACTGACTTTGGTTACCATCACCCAAACTGCAGATGGACTTCCCAACTCAGTCTCACCCCTGTCTCATTGCTCTGAACTCAGCAGATCACTTCGATTTTGGCTGCTTCCAGCTCTGACCCCTGGGCTGCTCGTCTCTCTTTCCCCAGGGACTGGATCTTGGGTGGCTGCTGCCCTGGCTCTGTGTTATCTTGGTCACCTCCCCACTCCACGACTGTACCCTGGCTCACAAAACATGTTAACAAAATGGCAATCTGGTTCATTCTGTTCTGAGCTGTACCTGCAGACTGTTCCTCCATTATGATTTTCTGACACTGCTGATTCCTTCCATCCAACCTCGATAGCTGTCCATGATACACTTGGAAAAAAACCACAAAAAACAAACAACAAAAAAATCCTATGAAGAGTTCTAATTATAGGTTTAGTTACAATTAAGGAGTAAAGAAAAAAGATGTCTAGGCTAAGAATAACTGCATATAGTGGGAACAGCAGACTTACAGCAAAATGATCTTGTGTGGAAGCTACAATGAAACAAATTGATATCACAATGAAAGTTATTGTTACAGCTTATTAATGGCAGTCAGAAGCTGCTTTGTATCTTGATATGGCTTTAAATAAACAAGAAATAGACATCTTTAGGCATACAAATTTTTAGAAAAATGCATAGCCAAAGAAAGTAAACATGTTATAAATTCTATTTTTTGTTCATTTTGTATAGGTAATTGGGAAACTTACTACAATATCCTAATGGTGAAGAAACATTGAAAAAACAATAAAGAGCTTCAGAAAAATTCCATTCTGTTGCATAAAAATCCCTGATTACTAGGGATCATCTTCAGACTAACGATGATTCTTCTTCTGAGGAAAGGTTCTGAAAGGAGATCCCAAAAGAAGCATCCTCAGACTAAAAAAGGCTCTGGGAATCAAATCCCAGAATTATAGGGGAATTTTTTGACCACTCAAGCAGTCTAAGTGTGCCTGATATTTGTTAGTGGAGCAAGGCACGACAGCCTGTGCTGCAGCTGTGGTTGCAAGCAGCTGTTTTTCAGGAGTCAAAACTCCCCAGGTTTCTCAGGTGGTCAGTGCACAGGGATTATAATAATTACAATCTTTAAAAAACCCCCAAAAACCCCAGCAATCCCCTACCCAATTCCAAGAAAATATCTAATCGGAGATTTTTAGAATAAATCATGCGATGTTTGTAGGTCCGTGGGGTTTTTTTTTTTGCAACCTGGGTTGTAGCTCCGTGTGGTGCAAGAGCTGATGCTGCCAGGACATCTAGTGGCACAAATACGTACTGCCCAGAGAAAGCACATTACTAGAAAAACAATTTTTTTTTTTTTTTTTCATGCTTCCAGATATTTCTTGGTACTACTCCAGGCTTCTTTGGCTGTTGCTGAGATTTCACCTAAGAATATACAAGGCGGAAATGAAATTGTGAGAAAAAATCTACAGGACCATCTGAATCATGTCTCTAAATAAAGATGGGACATACTACACAATCTTGATAAAATAAAGGTCAAGGCCATTGATTTTTCTCTCCCTTTTCGCCCACACTTGCCTCATCCAGTCCAGTTGTTTATCTGCCTCTAGACAATAGAGCTTGCACAGCTGTTACTCCACACACTGAAAGGGGAAATCAGAATGTCTGAGTTTTGGGAGCTGAAAACACAAGGCTTCTCACTGAAAAATTAGATTTATTGACATTGATGGCTTCCCATTGCATAGTCTTTCCATTTTCTTTTTTTTAGCAATGTGCCAACCAAAAAAAGCCATTTTAATTGCCCCTATTAATGTTCACTTTGCTTTTTGTGTTACTCTCATTTTGAGCAACAAGTCATGGAAACCAGGCCCAATCTGCTTTTTGTTTTACTTGTAAATGTGATTATAACTACTAGTTTAAATAGGTGCAAAATAGTTTAAGTATGTGCAAAACTAATCCTGTAAAGAAGCAGAAATCTCTTTGTTTGTTACATATTTTTCTGGCCATACACAACATCAATACTTTAACCCTGGCTTTAAATAGAAAAGCAATTTTCCTGTTGTTTGGACTACCTGATGTTCAGACGTCTGCTGTTGCCATAGCTCCCAGGAAGAAGCTGGAACTTACTGGTAGATCCACGGTTGAGCTGGAAACAACCACTTCAGCCCTCCCTGTAAACAACCATCCCACATCTCCCTGCGGACGATGCTGCAGGGCTGAGGTAGGAAGAGCTTCAGTCTTTTTTTGGGTTTTTTTTTGGTGTCACCCCACAGAGGCTGGTCTGGGGGAGGCTCAGGGGGTTCCTTTTGGTCAGTGTCCCCCTCTGAGCCCCATGGGCATGGGGGGGACCCACCAGTCAGGGGGGACCCCACTGCCAAGGGGTCCCAGGGCTGAGGAGGGACCCACCACAGGGCCTGCCTCACTCACTGGGGGGCCTGATCCAACCTGGGGGGCATTGTGGGGAGCAGCCCGTGGGCATGGGGCAACCCAGCAGAGCCCAGAAGGGCTCCAGGGGGAGAGAAAAGGGCGGGAAACGCCTTCCCCATGGGGAAAGGCTAAGGGAGCTGGGGATGTTCAGCCTGGAGAAGGTTATGTGGAGAGCTCACAGCACCTTCCAGGATCTGAAGGGGCTTCAGTAGCCGGGAAGGGACTCTTTGGCAGGAACTGTAGAAGCAGGACAAGAGGGAGTGGGCTCGAAATGAAAGAGGAAAAATTCAGGCTGAATATTGGGAGGAAATTCTTCCCTGGGAGGGTGGTGAGGGTCTGGCACAGATCGCTCAGAGAAGGTGAGGCTGCTCCCCGGGAAGTGTTCAAAGCCGGGCTGGAAGGATTTCTGGGGCACCCTGGTGTAGCGGGAGGTGTCCCTGCCCGGGTAGAGGGTGGCACTGGCAGACCCCCGAGCTCCCCCCCATCCCCAACCCCTCCATGACTCCCTGACAGGACCCGAC